TAAAGATACAAATAATCCAACATGGAATCAAAAATTTACTTTGTAAGTTCAACTTTCATCATTAAGACTTACATCTTATCCATCTTTTCTATTATTTCAGTAATTTACAAGACAATAATGATTCTTTATATCTGGATGTGTATGATGATGATGCCATGGGTCGAGATTCGATTGGTTCAGCAAAAATTGATTTGAAAAAACATGTGTTTGGAAAGGAATGTTATAATGCATGGATTACACTACCGGCGATGCTTGGTCTTCTTTCCAAAGGTGAAATTCATGTCATTATTAAGCAACATGCAAAAAAATAAGTGCTCTTTTATTTCTTCTACTTTCAAATGTAATTTTGATGTGTGTTCTATTTATTAATCATAATATAAATAATTCTGGAGAGAACTGTATTATTCTAATCCAAAAAGTCTATATTAAGATTTGATTTGAGAATATGGATAGAATGCCAATGATAATCTGGTTTTTTAGAAAAATATATCCATTTGAAAGTAGAAGATACTTACAGAGTTCATAATATTGACAAATATTGTCTGCTCTTATCAAAGGTTGATAATTTTGACATTTAGAAAGAATACTTTAGCTTTCGTCTATCTTGTAGTATGAAGCACTGTTTGGTAACAGTTTCGAAAGCCCAGTATTTTCTTTACAATGAAAGCTGTTTTTGAATCAGTTCTTATGTTTGTATTAGGATAAAAATATTTTCACCTAAAACTGTTTAGATATTCGATTATGTAGAAAGCTTATACTTAACTAGTTTTTAAAAGATTCCATCTCAAATTTTCTTTTTTTAGATCTTCTCATTTTGGAATTTATTTCTTCTTATATAGAAATAATAAACAAGCAATAAGTTAATAATTAAACGGAAAAGTACTTTGCTTGTAATTATCGACATGCGTTATCGACTAAGTTCCTTTCTAATAATTCTTGTTTTTGGTACGTATCTGCTTATTTTCCGAAGGCAGTCTAATTTACAGAATGGCATTCAAGTGACGCATAAATTGGTGGTACCACAAAGTCTCATTTCAACATCATCTGCTCTTTTGAACAAACTCATGACTACTTCGTCAAACAAACAAACATTTCCGGTAACAACACGTGCTCCTGCTATTGTGATAGGAATCCAAAATTGGTTTCAAGAAGTTTTATCAAACTCTAGCAAGGTTCAACAATGGTCAGCTAATGAACTCGATGATAAACTACATCATCTTTCGCACTGGAGTAATTTTAATGCACAAGGCTGGCGTAACTTTGTCAATAATACCATTGCTAAGCTTGATCCACCGATGTCACCAACTAAAAATTTTACCTTTTTTGAATTAGGTGTAGGAGTAGGTGCCTTTTCACGTCGATTATTACTTCAATACCCATATGCTAAAGGTGTTGGAACTGATATTGTTACAAGTGCTGTTCTTATTGCTCGAACCATCTTACCACCAGATCGTATGAAACTTTATACTGTGACGAATAATGACTACAGTATGATTGATAATAATACAATCGATCATATTATTGCTTCGGGTGTTATTTGTTATTTTCCATCACTGGACAGTATCGAAAGTTTAATGAAAGAATTAGTACGTATTGCGAAACCTGGTGCATCGATGTGTTTCACTATGATACCATTCGATGCCTATGGCAAGGTCTCATGTAATATTATTATTTTACCATCATTTTGGTCAGAAAATAGAATAAGATCTCTTGGAATACGTGTTACAAGTATACAGAATATGTCGGAATGGAACTTACCACATTCTCATCATCGATATTCTGTGAATTTGAGAAAAGACATTATCACTTGATTCTATTTCCTGGCAAACAAAACATTCAAAGGCATATGTTCACGGTGTCATATTCGTATTTTGACATTAATATTTAACTCATTCTCTCGCGTTATTTCTAAACAAGTTCGGTGGGTGTGAATCTAATAGAATATCCGCGTCTATTGACGAAATGTTTTGATTTTTTTATATGTGGTGATCGTATTAGAATATTTAACTATTTTGAGTATTCTGGTTCTAAATAAATCTGATATTGTTACATTATTATTCGAGAAAAATAGGTGAGCGGGTATATGTGTTGTACATATATCCTTCATGGGCACTCAATCATTATTTATTATTTGAGAATATGAGAGCACACTGTTTCAAAGAAACAGTTTTTCAATAGCATATAACTGATTTACACTAAACGCCATAAGTGGACCCGACGTTTTTTTCGTACTTAACAATGACCTTTCCTTTATCTTTTCTTATTGTTAGAACGGACTAGTCATGTACATCATCTCATATAAATAGGGGTGTTTATATACGATCAGGTATCGATTAGTAAAATAGTGAAAGAATGGACATTTCTATGTAGAAAAGATGAGAAATCGTTTTCTTATCAACACATAAATTCAGTCCACATATGTCAAATGTTGGTATAGCAAAATATGTAAGAACTCATGAATCAACTGTGTGATTTTGACTTAAAAGATATGGAGAAACTGGTGGCGTAGAATTTCTACAAAAATCCGGTTTATATCGGAAAAACAATATGCAACGATTCAATCGATAGTAGCTCAGCATTATATCGAATCTGGTGGTCAAATTGCGCTTAGATTGTTACGAAAATATGCAAAAATGAGTAAAACTACATTAAGAAGAAGGTTTAAAGAGGATGATATACAATTTCAGTGACACCAACTTCGAAATCGTTCGTAACAAGTGACTGTATTTTAAAAAAACTCCAGCAGGATATAAAAGTCAGAGACTGTGACTCAAGTGAAAATGTTTGGGCATGAATGGAGCTCAAAATAAACAAAGAATTGTATATATCGATCAATAATTTTTTTGAAAGAATAGAAGTAAGAATGGGAAAACTTAGCTACTAAATTTGCTAAAAAATTGGTACTTTCTATGGAAAGTAGAATAACGTTATTAATTGAGAGAGAAGGCGACTATATTAATTATTGAGATGATGTACACACAATGTAGTTTCTATAAATAAAATATTAAAAAATAACTCCTTTGTCTTATCGATTTTTTTCGTCGGGTCCACTTATGGCGGCGGGTGTATATAATTTCACAATCGAATCAAAAATAGAACAGCACATTCATAATCATTTAGTGTTTCTTTAAGTTACTTTTTTCTTTCTCTAAATAGTCATACAATCATTATCGCCACCGATGTGGAGCTAATGTTTAAGAACGATGATTGTGTGTGTCGAACTAACCTGAATATTGAAATATTCAGAAAAAAAGAAGAACGAAAAAAGCCAGCTGTTGTCTCATTGTTAATAG